GGGGGGGTTGCTACGTGAGTCGGTCATGGACTGTGTGTCCTTGTGGATCTGGCATCATGTCCCGGGGTGGTTTCTTAAGGAACAGATGAGACGCTTCCATGACTTGCTGAAAAAAAAACCCTCTCTGTTCATATTGTCGGTATGGAGTTCAATATAAATATCTTCCCTAATGCTGCGATCCATATATCGGGTCTTGGTGGAGAGGATGGTGGTACTCTGAAGCTGAATGCGGTGTTCCAATTCGATGCTGTGTTCAGCTACAGCTGACTTGTCCGGATGCTCGAGACGGATGTGCCGCTGATGCTCTTTCAACCTCATGTACACGGAGCAGCCCGTCTGCTCAATACAGATCTTGCCGCACTCTCTTTGGATACTGTATACACCCGGTGTCCTTAGTCCCAGGCTATCTTTGGCCGGCCGGAGGAAACTGGATAATTTGTTTGGAGGCAGACCCACTGATTTGGTTTTGTGCCGGGACAGCACTCTGCTGATATGGTTGAATATAGTCCCAACATAGGGCAGGAAGGCGACTGAGCACGGTTTATCTTTAGGCCGGCTGATGTTGGGCCGACGGTTGAGAACTTTGTGGATCTGCCGGTTGTTGTATCCATTCTTCGTCAATACATCCCCCAGGAACACTAACTCCGCATGTAGGCTGTCTTGATCATAAAGAGCTCTATCTCTGTGCTAAAATATTGAAAGTGCAGCTTGCTAGTTGGAAGGGAGGTGATGGGACCACACAAATTTCTACCTTAACCTTTTCTTTTGTTTCATGTACGATACTAAAGAAAAACTGCAAGAAAACCAAGAAACAATTTAAAAACCAGCGAATTGTTAGGCAAATCTTAATACTTCACAGTGCTGTTGTACTCACAGATATTTGATATGGCTCAAATTCCAAAATTCGCACTTTTCGTGAAAGTTCAACTAACCACTGCTGCAAGAATAGTATGGCATATTTGCTAACCGAAAGGGCGAATTCATGTTGCAATGAATGCGGTTACACCAACATACCAAGAGCGAAAATATTGTCGGGTATGGACCCGTTCCTACGCGGGGACTCTGTAGCTACGACCGTTTCTGGTTAACCACGCGGTAAACAATTTCCCGCAGCAACGAATACGCATCCAACAATAGATTTAATGTTGGAAATGGGGTGTTCTCTATGTGGTCCGCTCCGACGTCCTTTCTAGGCAACAGCTAGGTAAAAGCTTTCCCGCGGTAACAGACATGAACGTAACAATAGAAGGAGATTGTTTCTATGTGGTCCGTGCCGAGAAGTAACAAACAGGACTGTTGGATCAACGAGGCAATGATCAGATCAGTATTGACATGGGCTTTTCCCGCCTGGGAATTAACGAAAGACATCATCCTCTTAAAATTGCAGCGCCTACAGAATAAGATTTTGCATACCATTGTTCAATTACCAAGGTGCACACCATCTACGATTTGCACTCAGCTTTCAACCTTCCACACACACACACACACACAAACATGTATACAGGATGTCCCAGGAGGAATGAACCAAACTCATATGGATTATTATGGTTCCACGTATGCATATTTCGTAAATTATTTACTCCGTCCAGGGTAAAAGACGCCTCATCACTGAATAAAATGGCGCTTAACAGTTCGGGATGAGCTTTTATCCAATGGCACAAATCCATACGCTGTGGATGGTCGCCTGGTTCCAGATCTTGTATCCTTTGATCATGGTAAGGATACAACTCTTCATCATGTAAAGTTCGCCACACCTGCATACGTGATACGCCGATGCGACAGGCTATTCTACGAGTGGACAGACGCGGACTTCTCTGAACCGTCTCAAGAATGTTCTCTCGTGTATTTATCATTCGTACATCCTCCCTTTCAGAGTGCACAGAAACACTCGGAAGAGAACCAGTATCACGCAATGTCTGGTGAATTCGCGTAAATACACTTCGAGATGGAATCCTTCGATCGGGGAAACGCCTTTTGTATTCTTCAACAGCAGCACGTGCATTGTCACCGCAAAATCCACACACAAAATTCATATCACAATATTCCACGTGTGAAAACACAAGAGGCATTTCAGCAACTCCGCACAACTAATTACCAACCATTCAAGACGCGGCCGCAACGTACTCTGTACGTAGCACATGAGCTTACGGCTAGTGTGAATCACCACACTCAAGGACAAACATAGATAACACGTCTTAGCTGACAGGTACAGTGCGTGGACCTGCCAGAAGACCACACTTTTCTCGGGCCATTATCTCCGTAACCGTTCAACTTTGGACATAGGTGTTTTGGGTTATATCGGCATACTTTAACACAAGGAACATCCTCCCGAAGTTTGGTACATTCCTCCTGGGAAACTCTGTATAAACGAAATTGTGCAGGCAAGAAGCAGAAGCCATACAAAATCATTAGAATGAACATGTCTGAGGTATAGGACAAGGTGAAAGCATATACACGTATATAAAATATAAGAGACTTAAAGTTGGCGGTGATCAAGCTTACGACCTTTCAAGTGACCAAGCTATCGTTGCAGCCTTAGATATGTAAGATGATCTACTCTTCGCAGACTGCGCTGGCATAAGTCTTGTGTGTAGTGGAAAAGGAAGAGAATTTCAATAGCATGCTATATGAGCGAAATGTATACTTGACGAAAGGCCAACCATGTACATAAGAGACAAACCCATCATTTTGCCATAAATAATATTACGAAAGGACTATTACAGCATGGGTTCAGTTTAAACAGCTATTGGGGAACCTTGGTTCTCAAATTTAACTTTGAAAACGTTGGTTGATTTCATCTAATAAGATCTAAGAGCTAATAAGATCTAATTTATAAGTATCTTCGGGCACGTTATCCACATTTAAAAATAACGGATAATGTTATAGCGCTCGTACAGGAGGGTCAGTATCAATTGCTCCAACCATTGTACCGCAGGCAAAGTTCCGGTAAACACAGACTGAAAGCCAAAAATAGTAACGAATATGCAGATGTCAGTTTCTTAGGCAACGGCCTGCTAAGTGTCATTCTCATGCCAACAAAGATCCAACAAAAGTTTTCTTCGATATGGGGAACCTTCAGATCGTACGGCATGTCCGCTACAACGGTGTAACCGCTCTCTCTGTATAGTGCCCTTTACGTTGGGTGTCACCTTCTTGTCGCCGTCCCCCTTTACCTTCCTGTTCCTTCACCTGGCTTCCACCTGCAGCGGCTGTTGCTGATACTTCTTTGCCAAAGGAACACAGGTGAATTTTCTTTACCTCAGAAGGTAGAGATGAGACTATCTCAGGATCTTTTATACGGGCCTCGCTCAGACAGGGAGGTAGAAGCGTCTAATGATACACTTGCACTTTGCATGTGAGTATAATTTATTCTTTGTGAAGAAAGTGTAAAACAAAACACAGTTCACATACACAATTCACCAGGTGTTGGCACTTCTTTCAAAGGTGAACTACCAAACACTAACAACTGTTCCTAGCTGGACCACCACTTTTTTTTAAGGGTGTTTGAAGAGTATTTGAAGACTGTCTGATGACTTTTTGAAGACTGTTTTTCTGAAGAGATGTGAGCCTTTCCAGTTTTCGCGAAGTTCCCAAGTCCCACCCTCGACTTTTGAGGATTGGTCAGATTTGAAATAAGGGAGTTGACTTTGAATCCGCTACTTCCAATCATTTTTACTCTAGAGGCAAATTTTTTCTTTAATGACCTAACGTAACTTTTGAAAGGTAATGATATAGGCGTCCCCTCCTAGCACGCCTTCGTGTGACTTAAGACTAGCAGAAACTGTCAAGAGTCAAATTTCCAAAGTGAGTCGCCGAGCGACTCTGGAACCAAAATTCCAAGAAATGCTTAACTAAATCACCAGTGGGCCATCTGGAGTTTTTGTGTGTGTGGTCCATCTATGAAACAGGCAGCTTCGTGTGTGCAAGAGGTGGGCTATGTCCCACTCTGCGTACACACTCTGCGTAATTATTATAAAATTATTGAGAATAACTTGATGAAATACTATTTAGGCTTGTGGGCGGTTATAACGGATACAGGAGACCGGTAGCTTCTATTCGGTCCTTCCGAACTTGTAAAAAAGTGTTCATTCGTGAATTCAATACATTCATTCATAATAGAATTCAGAAGGCAGATCAGTGGTGTATATTCCGAAGAGAAGATTCATTACCGAGCAACGAACAACAAGCAGACACTGAAGATTTTACTCTATATACTAGAGTTACAGTAATCTATAAAGTATTACAGTTCAGCAGAAAAGATTTTATACGTTTCTCTATATTCACACTGTTGTTCGGTATTTAACTTTCTTCCTTTGAGTACATTAATACAATTATCTTCTTCTAACCGCTTCCTTTTCCTTTACTCTCTTACACATGCAGCACGACTTTTAGCGGCGGACATCTTATTAGTGCGTCACGTCATTTGCTTGCAGCTTGCTTCTATTATTGTTCACCCACTGA